CCACTTGTCCCCAGACTCTGGTTCAGTAGGATTGCTCCTGGTGCATATTACTATCGGTTCACGTGTCCTGGGTTGAGAAGCCCTTGGCTGATGTGCCTGTTCCTCTGAAAAGTCACCACATTTGCACTTCTTAGCTTTATGTATGTAGGTGCCTCCCTGCAAGGGAAAAAAGTAATAGCAGCCAGTGTGACTTTTTGGAAAGCAGCTTTTGAAGCTACTAATTACACAAAGTTGTGTCTCGGAGCAGCCCATAAGGCATCCTGGCAATGGCCTTGGCCTCCACCCTTGTTTGTCACGCATTCCACAGTACAACCTGACTCACTGAAGAGACAATGAGCAAGATAAACCCTGAGAGCACTTCAGGCTGAAAGGATGTAGGAAAAGCGCTTTCAAAATACCTCACAGTGCCTTGAAAAGTGACAAACTTTTCACTCGTCCGTATGGTTTTAGTTATTCTCATCAAAGCCTGGGGTTTCCAGGATCTGAACAGGAAAAGAGGGGAAGGAGGAACGACAGAGAAAAAGTAAGTAGGAAGAGTAATCAGGGGTTAGCAACAATGCTGAGCATCCCAGCAACCCAAGAGAGTAAATACAACAAAAGATCGCTAACTGGAACTTAAATACATATCAAAGGGAACATGGCTGTTGTTCCAGAGAGCGTTCTGGGAATGACACTGCGTGGTCTTACAAAGCACTTATGAAAAATAGAGATGTATATGCCCAAGTCAGCTTTCCCTAAGAGTGACACAAAACAATCTTTTATTAATATTACTTTAAGTGCATTACCATTGTGCAGGATCTCAGAAGACCAAATATGAAGAGTGTATTATAGAAATCAAAGGAATAAATTAATATGAGAAGAGAAAATTGCATACCCTGCTAGAAATGTCTCCTCATCCTGTTACCCTGTAAAGCACTTTGTAAATGTAAATATTGTATGTAAATATTAGATAAATAAGTAGATGGATGAGTAGAACCTTCCTCTGGGTTTTGTAGAAGAATACAGAAGGCAAAGAGTCATTGTTTCATATCTCAAAGCTCTCTCAGGCTCATGTTTCCTGGTGTTGAGCAGTGACCTCATAGAAGCCATGATTTCCTCAGACAATCAAGCTGACAATTGGTGTTTCAGAGTGGACACAGACAGAAAGATTAATGTCTAGTGGCTTTGTGGATGTGGCCGTGGTATATTATCTATTCAAAACTTTGTTTTGAAATGTGTATATTTTAGTCTTAAAACAAAATTTTAAGTGTGTGTGCATGTGTGTATATATACCACACTGTTGTGTGAAGGTCAGAGGACAACTCACAGGAATTGGTTTTCTGCTTCCACCACGTGGGTCCTGAGGATTTAAGTCAGGTAGGCTTGCCAACAAGCATCTTTACTGGCTGAGCACTCTCACTGGCTCAGTGGCTGTGGTTTCAACAAATGGACACTTACAGGGTATGTCATAGTGGTTGTGAGGTGAGATCATTTCTAGCATGGGTTACACACTGGATTCTTGGAGGCCTTCAAGAAAACCCAAGAAGAGAGTGAGCTGATAGCACAGCTCTGCCCTCAAGCTAAAACAGGTAAGAACCTGTCTGCGGCTATGACAAAGACTCCCTTTATCTTAGTTACTGTTCTATTTTTCTGAAGAGACACCACAACAAAGGTAACTTTTAAAAAAAAAGAAAGAAAATCAGTTCATTGGAGGCTTGCTTATAGCTTTAGAGGCTTAGCTCATAATGTCAGCATGGCCAGCAGGCAGGCCAGAATGGTGTTAGAGCAGTTCTGGGAGTTTACATCGTGATCCAGACCACAGGCAGCAGGCAGAGGAGGAGACTGGACCTGTAATGAGGATTCCCCTCTGTATGCTGTGAATACCATTGGTTAATAAAGAAACTGGCTTGGCCTGACAAAGTAGAACAAAGCTAGGTGGGGAAAACTAAACTGAATGCTGGAAGAAAGGAGGCAGAATCAGGGAGAAGCCATGTAACCTCACTGAAAAGAGATGCTGGAACTTTACCCTGTAAGCCACAACCACATGGCAATACACAGATTAATAGAAAAGGATTAAAGTAAGATGTAAGAGTTAGCCAATAAGAAGCTAGAGCAAGTGGGCCGAGCAGTGATTTAATTAATAAAGTTTCTGTGTGATTATTTCGTGGCTGAGCAGCTGGGAACTAACAAGGGGCCTCATTACTACAGGCGTGGTGTGGGTTTTTTGAAACCTCAAAACCCACACCCAATGACACCCTTCCAACAAGACCACACCTCCTAATCCTTCCTAAACAGTCAGTCCACTATATGAACCTGTGGAGACCATTCTCATTCAAACTAGCACATGTACCATCTGTTAAGAATCAGGCTACTGGGACCGTGGTGCAGTCTAGGCCCAAACTGCTGCCGAGGGCCATCCATGTCTGGGTCCAAGGTCCTGCTGCAGCTGGGGTCTGTGATGGTGCCCATTGCTTATGTTAGCACAGGGGGGGCATTGGAACCATGCTATACTGATCTGGCCCTCCCTTCATGGGCCCTGGGCTGGCTGGCCCTGTCCCTCATTGGATACTGCTCACCCCTACCCTTGGGAAAGATAGCTCCACCCCTCACCATAGGCCTGCAGCTCACCTGGGAAGCACACTAACGCTGACTCTATGGTAAGGGCCACAGCTGAACTGACCTAGAGGACATGAGAACTGGAGAGCTGACCCAGGCCCCTCACATCTGCCATGTGGTGGCATAGGTGAGGGAAAGATGCCCTCCCCCTCTTACCCATTACCACCTGCAGCAGGTGAGAGAGCTGGCCCTGCGGTCACAAGAGTGGGAGAACTAGCCTTGATCCTCACTGACTGCCTCACACAGGAGAGCAGGCCCTGCACCCTGCCTGGGCAGCTCTCTAGAGTTGACCCTGTTGCCGCGGGCACAGGTGAGCTAGGCATGAGAGCAGGAGAGCGAGAGAGCAGATCCTGCCCCACCTCTTATTCCCCCAATCCTGAGAGAGGCCTCTGCAGCTTGCCTGGGCAGAAGAGTAGAGCTAGCTGGCCCTGGTGATATGATCTGAAGGCCCTAGAGCAGAAATGGCTCCCTGTACTTGCTGTAGACTGCTTTGGGTAAGCTAGCTGAGGCAGTGCTGGAGAACTTGCCCTGGCAGTGACGATGAGGGGAAGCTGGCAGGCTGTGCAACCCAGCTACCACCCAGGTCTAGAACCAGGGCCATGAATTGACCCACCTCAACATTCATGGAATCTATCAACTGTTTGAACATGTGAAGGGATGAACCTACAGATCTGAAACAGCAGGATCTCCATGACACAGGACAACAACAGGGTATCCAAGAGGAGCCCCAATGAGAGTGAGAGTCCATTATCGACGGGCAGTGTAGCGGAAACCAGAGGCCTCGAACCAGACCAATGGCAATGAACATTTGCAAATAAAGATGCATGGACTAAAGGGTAAACTGTGTGGCCCAATGGGCCATATTACAATTTCTATGACAAGATTCTTCTTTTTGTTGGTTGTTTTGTTTGTTTTTGGTTTTGTTTTTCTTTTAAATTTGTTTTAGATTGGGGGTGGGGGGGTAGTTACAAGGGCAGAGGGCAGAGTCAAGGAGACCAGAGATGAGTGGGATCAGAATCATGATGTGAAATCCGCAAAGAATCAACAAAAAGTTAAAATAAAGTTAATAAAAGAATCAGTAGGCTGGGTACAAGTTTGTTGTCAACTGACCACCTGTGCACATAATCTTGTGAATGTGACTGCCCATTCTGTAGTAAGGGATTTGACAATAACCTCAAGGTTGGCTTCTAGGAAGAATTCTTAAAACAAGTCACCATCTGGAAACTCAGTAGCCTGGTTAGTTTTTTTTTTTTTTTTTTTTTTTTTTTTTTTTTGCCAGCTTGACACAGCTAGAGTCCTTTGAAAAGAGAGAACCTCGGTTGAGAAAATGTACCTACTAGATTTGCCTGGAGGTAAGCTTGGAACATTTTCTTGATTAATTATGGCTGTGGGAGGGCCCAACCCACTGTGGGCAGGGCCACCCCCAAGGCCTATGGTCCTGGGTGGTATAAGAAAGCAGGTTGAACAAGTTATAAGGAGCAAGCCAGTAAGCAGCATTCCTTCATATTTTCTGCGTCTATTTCTGCCTCCAAGTTCCTGCCCTGACTTCCTTCAGTGATGGACTTGAGATGTGGAAGTCTGATCTGAATAAACCCTTTCCGTTCCTCCCCAGTCATTCTTGGTCCTGGTGTTTTACCATGGAAACAAACCCTCAGACACTCAAGCAGGAAACACCTGTAGGAACACCTTGTAGGAAGCCAACTACATGACAATGGTTCACTTTTGAGAACTACAGAGATTAATGGTATTCATGACAGATAAAAAGACTTTGTCACTAAAGATGAATTCCCTATGCTGCCAGCAAGGGTATCAGCAATCTCCTTTTGGTATTCAAAACAAAGTTGATTGGAGCATTGATTAGAAGTAGTAGGATTTATTCTAGGTAACAGTTTAGAATGCAAATTACAGAAGATTAAGAGGATTCCAGAAGACTCCTGGCACCACACCCGCTGGCAAGGTGCACCTTGCAGGAGGTCAGTGCAAGCTGATGCTTGTGAGGTATCTTCCTGCTCAGTCTCCCTGGACTGCGTGGGTGGATTGACTGAAATTGCCCCAGCCTGTGCTTCACCTGGACAATTGATCTCTTTTGCACATCCAGCAGCCCTTCAGATCTTTCAGTCTTTGACCAAAAAGAGACATAGCAGCCTCCTCTTGACATCATCAGAAATCCAGAAGCTGGTAATGGAGTGTTACGGTCATAAAGAAGAACAAAACCATGCCACTGGCAGGACGATGGGCAGAACTGGAGGTCACTATGAAATAAGACAGACGCAGAAAGACGGATAACACATGGTTTTCTCAGAGTTTAGCTAAGATTTTAATAAAGAAGGCGGGAAGTTCTGGGAGAACTGTCTGGGGAGGCAGGGATAAGTGGGAGGGGGAAAGGAGATAATGGAAGACTAACATGATCTCAAAGTTTATAGCATGTTTGTAAGAAAATGTCACCATGAAGCCCATTATTTTGTTCAACTATAAATTTCATAAAAATCAATTGATTTACTGTGTTGTCAGAAAAACCTCCATTCTCTATTGGTCCAAACAGAGGCAAAGTTCAATGACATCTGCTCCACCCTCGTGAGAAAAGCATCTTCTTTCAGTGGGTGGGAATTAACATAGACTCCCCACGACCAGGCGATGAGCAGAGTGAGCAGCTTTGATAACTCAGTCTTACATGAGGTGTCATCATCAAGCCCCTCCCCTAAGGTTCAGGACTCTAAGGGAAGAGAAGGCAGAAAGGTTGTAAGAGTCAGACAGCATCATCCGGACACAACAGCACTGACACACATATAAACTAACAGAGATTGTGGCTGTGTGCACATGACCTGCATAGCTTCCAGCCAGACAGAGTCCCAGCACCGAGAAGAAGTGAATGCAGGATCCCACCCCTAACCTGAAAGGAAAGAGAAAGAGAAAATCAGTTTTCTCCAATGGCAATGTCACTGGCTATATCACGGTTGTGTTTGATGCAGCACTCTAGGGCAGGCCCCTTTCTCAGGAGAAGTTAGCCAACACAAACACCATAGATTTTGTATTTTGTTGTTGTTGGTGGTGGTGGTGGGTTATGTTTGTGTGTTTGTTTTGTTTGTCTGTTTGCTTTGATTATCTGGGTGTTTTTTTTTAATCTTCTTTGAGAGAAGAGAACGTCAAGTTGGGTACATGGGGAGGTGAGGTAAATCTGGGAGAAGCTGGGGGAGGGGAAAGAAAAGAAAATTATCTAAATACATTATATGAAAATGAATCTTAAAAAATAATTTTCAACCAGGCTGCCTTTTTAACTTCTGCATCTGGATAAGACATAAGTTTATGATACAATTTTTTTAAGAATCAAATATGCGTATAAGGACATTCAGTCACCAAAAGGATGCATTTGGTTGATCCAACAGGTCCCCAAGTTCACTGAGGCGAAATGCTGAACCCAGAGCAAGGACTTGGGCATAAGCCCCAAATTAGTCACAGGTGATACATAACTTTGACACAACGATTCCACTTTTTGGAATTTGCTCACTTCTCTATAAGTGGGGAGGGTGGCATTTTTTTTTTCAGGATCTTCACATATTTCTGTGACAATGAAAATAACAGCATGTGTGGAAGTGCTGAGAAAAGAGCCCTGCCAGGAAGATGAGGTCCTCAACTGATGTCTGCGAATCACTGAGCCCTGTGTCTCTAGAGCAGCCTATCAACAAGCTGACACCTGACAAATGAGAGCTAATTACTGTGTCATGTGGAGCCCATTGTTACTGCAGCCTTCATATTCCACTGACAGCGTATGTCCTGCGAGCCTATATCCTTGATAAAAGACATTTCTCAGAGAGGATTTCTAGCCCCTTTCCCATCTCTTTCCACATGCTCTGAAAAACAAATAAATGTCACTCAAGGATGGGTATAGTGGGACGCACAAAGTCCTAGAACTGGAAAGGCTGACGTGGGAAGAAGGGAAGTTCCAGGCCAGCCTAGGCTACCTAGAGAGTAGCTGTCTCAAAATGAAAACAAAAACAAATGTCTTTCAAAATTCCTAAATAAAAAAAGAAAAGATAAAGAAAGAAGATTATAAAGACCTCCCTTTTAGGTTGTCTTGTTTTTGTCAAGTGGTGTGAGTGTGTGTGTGTATGTGTCAGAGAGAGAAAGAGAGACGACCACAGCCTCAACCCTTGAACTCTCTAGGCAGTAATAATCATTTAATTATTTAATTATTAATATATGCTGATGTACTCCAGTTGGCCATAATACAAATTTTTGCCATTGGGCATTTTATTTAATCCCCATAAGAATACAAACTTATATTACTGCACCAAATTTAAGGGTTAGACAACTGACTCTTAGGGAGGTGAGACAACTTTCCTGAGGTTACACAGTGACTTGGTGATTGGCAGAGACGGTATGCCCTCTGACCTCAGCATTTATCACATCTTTCCTGAGACACTGTTCAATTATTACTGATTATTTTGTGTATAATCTGCCTTTGGGACAGATGTTCATAGTACACAGAGAATCATATCTTCGCCGATATGGATGTAGTCTGGTGGTTTGACATTGCGCCATTATGTCTGCACCGATCTGGATGCAGTCTGGTGGTTTACCATTGCACCATTGTGTCTGCACCAATATGTCTGCACCAATCTGGATGTAGTCTGGTGGTTTACCATTGCACCATCCTAAATGCTCCTGCTCCCTTCGGGGACTGTGCTGGGAATGAGATAATCTTCTGCTAGGGGTACAACCTAGCCCACAGTCACAGTGGTGTGGGGGCTTTCAGGGAACTACAGCTTCTTCCAGTGTTAGGCTGATGTACTTAGCATTCAGTCTATCCCTCAAACAGTAAAAAGTAACAACAATTTCCTTCTTGTGCACAAAAAGATTCACCAAAGATTCCCTTTCATTTTGCTCATTCATTCAATGAAAAGATAAATAGTAACTAGGGTTGCATCATCAGCCCTCTGTTTAATCACAGCTATCTCAGGAATAGTAGGGAGCCTCTACTGAGGATATTTGTTAATTTTCAGCTATCTACTTTGGGTGGAAAAGAACATAATCAGGACAAAAACTGTGCAAATGTGTGCATATGCTACCTCGCCGCCACCAAGAACTTCAGACATTTACAAAGACCTTTGAACTTAAGCCAGACTAGGCTCTGGGGAAGAGGACCTTACAAAGCATCACAGCCAAGACCTGGGGTGCAAAAACAGAAGTGGAGGGGGTAGGAAAGGCAGCAGAGGCAACCCCAAGGATGAGAGGAGGCTGTAGCAGTCTTCTCCAACTGTGCTTCCGCTTCAGGTGGTGTCTGCCCCTGCAGATCAGCCTGAGTGTCCTCCCCCAGAGAGCGGTACTGTTCTAGCTGCAACAGCTCTGGTTTTCAAGGCCTTCTCTGAGAAGAGTGGAGATTTTGTGACATAGATGGTGCTTCCATACTCTGCTGTACCCCACAACGAACAGCAGTTCTTGGTGTGTGCGCACAGTAATTGTGTATTTGTATTTCAACAGATGGCGCCCAGACGTGATGGGCTAAATCCACTTAAAAACCTGAGAAGGCTTAAAAATAAGGGAGAGAGAGTTTAACACAGATTTTTGATGTTTGTTGGTGGCGTGCTGAAAAGAGATTTCCTGGTTCAGCAACAGCAGCAGAAAAAACGCTGCATCAGTTTAAAGTGCACTTCCTGGGGCTGTGCTGCCTGCAGGAATTCTGGCTTTAAAGCATTTCAAGGCTTTTATGGGACTGGATGTTTGTGTTCCCGCTTGGGATCGGAGGAGAGTGCTCTGAGACCGTGCAGATGGCTCAGCGTTCCCTGCCTGCACCTGGGCAGATGGCGGATTCAGGCTTAGGCAGGCGGAAGAGCATGGCGGATTCCTGCCGCCATACAGAGACGCGTTTTCAGACTGCGCAGTGCTCTGCATGTCAGATTTGGCTGTAACTTGGATAAAAAGAGTTTCTGTGCTGTACACTCAGTCTCAGAATTAAACTGCTGATTGCGGCTCCAATGTGAACTGCTGTGTGCCTGGAACTGTGCTCAGCTCAGAAGCACCAAATGACTCTGAGGCAGGAGCAGCTGCTCCATGCTGAACTGTGCTGGTCTCAGGCAGGAACTACCGTAATTACCTTAAAACCATGCAGTTAAGGTTTAGACTGGGCAGGACACAGGCAGTACCGTATTACCTATACATGGTGCAACTTAAGTTTTTAAGAAATGCTTAACATTTTAAGAAATGCTCCTGGATAATAAAAAAAAAATTACAGATTCACAGTAAAACAGATTCAGACACCGTTGGATGAATGTACGTAGGCTTGGGGAAAAAAAGAGAATATAAAGAATAAAGTTAATGTCTTAAAAAGAAAAAGGGTAAAGTCTTTAAAGAGACAGAGTACAGAAGTACAGATAGTTATAGATTAAGAGAAATAAAGAAAAATAAGCCACGTAAAAATGAAAAATTCACAGAGAGTCTGGATTATGTACATTGTGTTTTCTTTAAAATTTTTGACTGTGAAGGAGCTAAGTACAGAGAGACATTTCATTATATGGGCTGCTAAGCTGAACCTGCACATATGTTCTAAAGGTATCTTGACTTCAGAATTTGGATCTAAGGTTATGATGCTTTGGAAAAGTCCTTCTTTTGTTTTCACAGAGGATGTGACCCTGTGGATTGCATCTATTCCGATTTGGTATGATAGACCACGCCCTCCTGAAAGGTTGCTGTGAACACCCTCAAAAAATTGCTTCGCTCAATTGCCAACTGAGATGAAACTAGCACACAGGTTATATCATGAACGACCTAATTAACGACGCCCCTATTCAGCAGGAAGCAGTTTGGAGAGAAAAAACTACGCCCATGTTCCCAAATATTGTTTATAAATGTTCTTTTACATTTAAAGGGGGATATGATATAGATATGAATAATTTGCATTGGTATGGATTTTAAGGTCAATTTTGTTATATGTATATGTATTTTTGATCTTGATTAAGGTATTGTGATTGTGTAGTTCATTTAAAAATGTAATGTATAATTAGGAAATATAGGTTGTTAATGGATAATCATCGCTAATAGTTAAGCTTGTAGTCATGTTAATTAGATTTTCTAGATATATAGAGATATATTTCAGTTAGATAGGCATTCTTCATATCTTTCAAAGACTGCAGAATATGGCATTTAAAATATTTTAATAACTTAGGACTTTTCATGACAAGGAGACACGTCTGCTCCTGGCAGCACCAGCTACTTCAAGAGGAAGATGGGCATCGAAGAGGATCCTTATGGAGTTGGATAGTCATTTGGGCAAGAAACTGCTCTTGCCTGGACTGTTGCATAAACTGGACACAGAGAACCCTCAGAGAGAGGACTGCTGAACTTGCCTAAAGGTGAGATGGTCTTTCGGGGTTCCTGATTCATGAAAGAGTCTGCGAGACATTCTGCAGGACACAGCAGAAAATGACTGAACTGTCTTTGAAATTTCCTGCTTCATGGAAATGTATCTGGATACCATGGGCCTGTAGGCCGAAGATGGATGCCCCAACGGTACCAAAGAACTTTGGGTGACTGTCCAGGCAGCGAGATGTCTCTGTCATTTCTAGAGTTTTCTTATTTCTTGTTTACTTAGGTAATATTATATCCTTCTGGAGTCTTTGATGGAGTTGAAGAATGAATAGTTATAGTTTTCCTTAGTTATGGTAAGAGATAAAATAGATATAAATATTGTAACTGTAATTCTTACTTGATAACTGTTTTGTTATATGTAATTTTACTATGCTAAAGTTAAAGCCTTTCTTTTTTGTTTAAACGGAAAAAGGGGAAATGATGTGGGAATGATTTCTTACTAATAAAGAAACTGCCTTGGCCCATTTTATTGGATAGAAAATTAGGTAGGCGGAGTATACAGAAGAGAATTCTGGGAGAAAGAAGGTT